AGAAATGAAGTTATTTGTAATAATAAAATAACTTCATTTCTGGGCATTTATGGTTTGATTTCTTTGTATGTATGGATCACTTGGGTTGTTACCAACATCTGGTGAAAATTTCATGTCATTAGTACCTCTAGTAATATATTTACTGAGAAAAATGGTGACGTGTTCAGTACTTATTTTACCCGCTGTAATTTACTGCTCTTTACAGTGTGTGGAAACAGGTGGGTGGTGACCATGGTGACCATAACGGGCAGCAGCTTTAACATTTGATTTTGGTTCTCTTTACATGCCTAAACCAGTTCAAACATCAAACTTTGATATGCAGCAGATGCATTGATTGGTACCTTACAAATAGGGATGCACCGATATGAAAATTTCAGCTGATAGTGATATCCGATATAATTATTGGTGTTATGGCCGATAACCGATATTACACAAACATACAAATTATATTATACATATACACAAAAACACACTTGGGTCTTTTTTGATACTGTAAATAAACAACCAGACCTCTGACATGACTCTACTTCAGTTATTCCTGGCTGTACAGCGTCAATATCACTATCATGATCAAACAGATGCCGCTCAACCAACCATCTCCCCTCCCAAAACAGAAACACAAAGATAAAAAGTGGGAAATCAATATCGGACATTAATATCGGCCCAGTGTTACATATCAGGACGATACCGATATTCTAAAAAATGACCAATATCAGCCGATACCAATATCAATACCGATATGTCGTGCATCCCAACTTACAAAAGATCTTCATTTCAGAAGATTTCTAGTTATTGATGAGATATACTTTTGAGTAAGTTCAGCTGTAAGAGAGTGGCTCTCCTTACCCTGTAACTGTGGAACAACTCTATGGCACGGAGGACGTCAAACTTTCGAGCCATGAGGAACTTGACGGCCAGTTCCCTGGACAGTGGTGAAACTCCATGCTGACTGGTCCACTTGTTGATTTCCTCTAGAAACTGTCTAGTTGCCTGAAAAAGATGAGAAGTTGCATCAAAAACTCTGCTCATACAGTCAAAGGGTCAAACGGGACAGGACGTGTAAAGACACACACACACAAGTTCTATCCCAAACATGGTGTAAAACTGTGTTAGGTCTTGGTTTTGGTCCCAAAAAGGACTAGTCTTGACAAAGTACATGTTTATACCAAAAGAGGTCCTAAAAAAGGTAAAAACAGGTACAAACGAACATGTGGGAAATGCATTTCTGGGGGAAAAATAAGAAAAAACAGATGGATGGACATCAAGTTTCAAAACACACCAAACCACACACTCCACAAGTCTTGAATAATACATAAGGCTAGAAAAGTATAAATTGAAAAGGAACTTCTTTATGTGATCAGATTTAAAGATGTTGCTGATGGAACTGAAATAGAAAAGATGATTTGTTGTAAAAAGGCTTTGGTAAATCATACAGTACCACACAAAATGATTCACTACACAACAACTCACCATGCTGACAATAATCACAAAACTAAACTTGGTAGGGATGCACCAATATGAACATTTCAGCCGATATCGATATCCGATACAATTATTGCTATTATGGCTGATAACCAATATTTACCGATATTACACAAACACACAAATTATATTATACATGTACACACAAACACACATGGGTCTTTTCTTGATACTGTAAATAAAAACCAGACCTCTGACATGGCTCTACTTCAGTTATTCCTGGCTGTGCAGAGTAAATACCACTATCATGATCAGATGCCACTCAACCAACCATCTCCCCTTCCAAAAACAGAAACACAAAGCTCTAAAGTGGGAAATCAAAATCGGACGTTAATATCAGCCCAGTTTTACATATCGAGCCGATACCGATATTCTAAAAAATGACCAGTATCGGCCGATACCAAATATGAATGCAGATACACTCCAGATCAAAATCTTAAAACCAGTCAAAAAAGTGCAAGAATTTGCATTTTGCACTATTGGATCTTAAGAAGGTTCTAAGTAGAGCTTCACAATGTTAAAAGAAGAAGAAATCAGTGCAAGAGACAAGAACTTTTGAGCAGGAAATTTTCTGAAAACTGCATTTACACTCAAACATGATTTTTTTCAGCTGATCAAAAGTTTAAGAC